TCCTTTCCTTTCCTTTCCTTTCCTTTCCTTTCCTTTCCTTTCCTTTCCTTTCCTTTCCTAACATCATGGGTAAATGTAAAGACAGACATTTTTCTCTCTTACAGACAACAGGAAAATCAAAATCAATGGTACAAGAGAACCTCTTGAATTTAAATCAAATCAGTGGTTTGGAGCAACAATCAGAACTCATAAAGGAAAAGTTGTAGTAAGTTTTTACACCTTTGTGTTGTTATTATTTTGAGATACTTCTTTTTTGACTGTATATATTCAAAGGACATGTGTTTAATTATTTAAAAAATATTGTTATGCTGATTCATATAGAAAAAAGCTCCAAATTCCATTATTGGCCTTTATTAGACTAGCCAAAATGTCATGAAATAGTTAATATAAGGGTTAGGGTTAGTGCTTCAGGTATGAAGGCAAAATGTGCTTTGGCAAACAGAAGATGTGCTTGTCTGCAACTCCTTAAAGGAATTCCCTCTTTCTTCCAAGATTGTATAGCTGTCTTTTGGAGCTGCTGCATGATCTTGGGTAAAGACACACCTAGCTTTAAGAAGATGCTACATCCTTCTTGCTGTACAACAGGTATCTAAGGCAGTTCCCAGCCCTAGGGAGTGTGCTGTCAAGATCATTTCAGTCTAATGGATTGTGGTGGGCTATAAATGTATTATAAATAAATAAAGGGAGGTCTTTATCAATCTAGATAATTTTGTAGCATATTTGTATGTGTGTGCACATATGGGATTTTAATGTTGAACTTTATTTTTGAAGAATATCCTAGGATAAATTTTTACCTATTGTCAGCCCTTCAAGGTAGATCAGACCAGAAAACCAAAGTTATGAATACTAATACTACTTTTAATATAAGATTATAGTAACAGAATCTTGTATGTCTGAATATGCTTCCCCCCTCCTTCCCTTTATCTTCTTGAGAACTAGGGAGGGTCAAGTCTCAGGTGCTTTCTCAAACTACATTTCTGCCTTGGACTCAAATTTCTTTTATCTGACCATTGTCTTGGTTGTGGCTCATCCTCCTCAAAGTTATTCCTACTTCCCATTACATCTATATTCTAAATTAATCTATTTCCAAGAGTAGGTTTGTACTAATCTAAATGCTATGAAATTCAGCTTGGTAATAAATTGTAGTCATTTGCTAAATAGCCCTTGTCAGGTTCAGCCCAAGAACAGCAATGAGACAATCCAGTACAGTTCAGTTCCTTTATTAGCTCGCACCTAACAGACAAAATCTTTTCAGAATAAACCTATGCTAAAGCAAATAGTGGCCA